TTATATGAATATTGAAATATGAATATATTTTACATAAACCACTCAAAAGGACAATTTATTTTTTCCATACTTGTAATTCTTTAATCTGAAGCACAATGTCTTCTCTCGTATATATACTTAAACCACTCAACAGAGCAATTTATTTTTTCATACTTGTAATTCTTTAATCTGAAACACGGTTTTTCTAAAAAAGTTTCAATAATTTGTTTGATACCTTGATGATAATTTAGTTAATTCATATTCTATTAAGACAGCCAAGGATAACAAAAGAATACGGAGCCACCGTTACATATATAACACATGCATTCAATCAGTTGATGTTAATTAAAAGATATTAAAAATAATTGAACATGGAATAGAAATGCATTTATTTAATTAAGTTCAGAACCTGCATTATTAAATAAGTAGGTAATGTTGATTTTTCTGTATTTAACTGTAGCAAGTGGAAACCATGGCCGCATCCACAGCTCCAGGGCCACTCCATTAAATGCCATGTTCATCGACGTTTCAATAGCAACTACATTGATTATTAAAAAATTAACACTAATACATTCATTTAATTATATTAACAAAAAGTTCAAAATCAGCCACATTTAGCGAAAATGTGATATCACCACTATTTTCGAATAATACAAGCACCACTCATTTTTTCTGCTGTGAAGGCATGTAATTTTCAAACCCTCCGGGCCAGGTTCCCAAAATCTTCCAGTGATCTTAAAATTCAAAGATTCGTTGTACTATTTATAACCACGCAGAATATATCATCATAATAATAGATTGACAAAGAGTTCCATTTATTGACATGAGAGAGCTGCAGCAAAATTTGGGAAAACCAGTTCTTCCAAGAAATTACCAAGTTATTGTACAGAAAGTGGGATTTTTTGTTTCTTTTTCAATTCATTTAGTGTAGAAAACGTGTGGGCCTTTCTTTTTAATAGGTCAAAAAGGATGCAAATGCCTTAATCATGGTGTGTGTTTGTTTAAAAGGAGACAAACAAAGAGCTACGTCTATATGCAGCAATAATATTTCATTTTCCCATTTCATTCCAACAATATAAGCCTTTTACGACTTCATCAGGAATTCAACATCGTAGACTCTCACTCCCCCCATCAATTTTGAATGAAGATTTTGTTTCTTTTGCTGCCACAAAAATCAAAAGGGAATAGATGAATTGTGTTCACACTAGCCAATTGTGAATCCAACATACACTTTACATATTTTAAATTGTATTTTATCAAAGGTTAACAAAGCATATCAATATAAATCTTTTACTACTAATCGATTTCATTATAAAATAAGTTTTATAATTTATACATTAACAATCAATCAAATATTTGTTATTAAAGATCCAATAAACTCTAAAGCTTATTACAAGTCTAAGCTTACACTTGTTATTAATCCAGATTATTCAAAATAAAGCGTAGTAGACAAATTCTGTAATGATCATATAAGCCCATCAAAATATCTTATTGAACTATACATTTACCTGATTTTATCAAACCAAATCATAATTAATGTTAAGCCACGCTTATAAACTTTTTTAACATAATTAACTTTCGTATAGTGTAATATTAATGTTATAACCCATTTTTAAAGACTATGATATAGTTGTGTTTATAAATAGTTGTTGATTGATTGATTTAAAGAAGTAGTTTTCATAGATAATCAAAGTGATTTGATCCTTTATAAGAAAGATGGTCCACCGTCCGCGTGCGCGTGACCTTGTTATTGATAAAGTTGCGTTCACATTTGTTGACCTTGACCTATGACGCAAATAAAACGCTGAAGCCAACAGAATGAAGGATACTCACCGCGTCCACAAACAACGTAGAATCAGCTTCCTCCAATTTCCAAGTTTACTCGGCGACAGGGTCATTCTCAAATGCCACAGTTTTCAGACGGCAGTTAATGTCTTTATTGCCACTATTCACTACAATTTATTTCTTCAATTTGGTCGGTTTGATTCTTCGTCGTAGTACTAACCACTAAACAAGTAAAACTCTGAAAAAACCGCACACATATTCTCACACAAATTTGACTTTAATCATCAATTCCAAACTAATCTTGATATTGTCATATTTTATTAAGTTAAATACCATAAAAAAAGATATATTAATCTCAAGGGATTGGCTTGATCATCAAAAAAATTTGTAAAATATTCAATGAGTCCTGAAAATTAATCAAAATGCGCATAAACTGACCCAACATTCTGTTTATTAAAAAAAAAGAAAAAAAAGATGTATTATATTAAATAAATCACTTCTTAAGACAACATACATAATAAATCATGTCAACATAACTTTCAACATAACTATTGAAGCTCAGGAATGATCTGGAAAAATTAAATTAAAATGAAATATCATTATTTTCTTTAAAAAAAAAAAAAAAAAAAAAAGACAAAATTTTATTTAGTTGTGGGTAACAAATAAACAATAGGACCTATGTTGCAGATGATGGGTCCGTGTAATGTCGTTCTGTTTACTTCGATCCATTTTCTTAACGAGCTGGGCTTATAAATCGTTGTTGCAATAGGGTCGTGTATTCTGGATTGGACATGCCCAATCCATCCAATGAATATATTTGTGATGATCTGCTTGATTAAAATACTGATAAAAAATATTCCGTGTCAGATAAGAATGGAGAAATGAATTTTCACGACAAGATCCAAGCATTTGACTGATAACGTTTTGTTAATTTTCACGACAAGATCCAAGCATTTGACTGATAACGTTTTGTTAGGGCAAAAAATCATCCTTGGCCCAAATAAGAAAATGGGCCTAAGTGTGTGGAAGAGACCAGGCCCAATCCTGGTGTAGGCCCATTTGATTCGAGATACAACCGGCCCAAACCATCGGGGCATAAGCCTCCCAATCATCGCTCACTTCCTGGACCTATGAGCAAGTTCAGAGCCCACGGCCCCCACAGATCATTTTCCTATTCCTAATCAATCTCTTATTCGAATGTCACCTTCCTATTCAGATCACTTTCCTACTCGAAGTTACTTTCCAGTTCGGGATCACCTTTCTATCCGAACACTGGTAAGACAGCTCACCACCGCCTTAACTCCTCTAGGGTTTGTATTAGAGTCACACTAGGACTCCTACTCTCACTAAGATTGGGAGACCAGACAATTCCTATATAAATAGAGGACAACCCTCTCACAAGGGATATTACATTACACCTTCTCACCCGAAGCTCCTACTTGAGAGCTACACATCACTGCCATAGTCACAATCTCCAACTAGACTTCCGGTAACCTCTCTACCCCCTAGCCCTTACTAAATTAGCCTTTTATAGCCTTGTTGACTTGGGTGTCGGAGTGCCTATAGCAAACACTACCCTGGTGTTTTCCGTTCGCTTCACGCACTTGTTTTTCTACGTATTTAGGTACAGCGGATCGTTAGTGGCCTCAACCTCACGGGATCAGACCCCCCTTCCGTACAGGTAGATTTTTACGTCTACAAGTTTGAAGTTGTTAAACAAGGAACAAAGATCAACAAGATATGTAGTGATTTTAAATATTAGGAGAAGGTTTCCGCTTCCATATAATCGTCAAACATGATAGAGAATATATAATATGGATATGAAGCAGGAGAAACTAGTATTGTTTTGGTTTTAAAAGAAAGAAAATAAATAATAGTACAGTAATATGACCAGTGGACTGGTGGATTGTGGAACCATAAGCAACCCACTTTCTCATTCCAAAATTTCCAACTGAATCGTAGGACCCAACGTCTAAGTTGAAACTGATTCAGCATTTAGAGATGCACTTTAAATTGAGTTAGTTGGTTGAGTCTTCAGTGTTCATCATTGATAGAATTTGAAGTGGGTGTCACTTCTCATCCAATAAGACTTTATTGAATTAGAGGATTACCTCTTTTTTATAAACCAATAGACTTAAACGTCTAACAACCATTATCTATTTTATAATTTCTATCCCAAATGAAGTCATCTAATGAATAAAATGTAAACATTGAAAACTCAGCAGGTTCTTATTTTGGAAAAACTCTTTGCTCTTGTGATTACTCAAAAATAAAATGAAATTTGTAGACCATAATGTTGCCTAATTCACTGCAACCATTAAGAGGCTTGCAAAAAAAAAAAAAAAAAAAAACCAGAAGTTCAAAATAATCAGTTAGGTTTTAATTCCGAGAGAGGTTGGTCCTAATCTAGGAGTGTCTAGTGAACAACCAATGCCATTATGATTTCATTTTGTTTGTTTTTCTAAGTGTAGATAATGTCATACCATTCATAAAATAAATAACAAATAAATGTGACATGCCATAAACGAAGACGAATCCACCCGCAGATATACTGATAAGACATCTCAACTATCAGACAGACCAGCAAATTTACATAAAAGGAAAACCCAGCAACTATTTTGGGTTGAAATTGATCGACGAACAAGCCTTCAAACAAAATCATATTCCCATCAACCATTTCAAACAAACTTCAAGCATATTTCTTTCATTTTCCTTTTAGATGATGCCAGTGATATATATATATAGAAACACAATGTTTTAAGAATTCTACCGACTGCAGAATTTTTGAAGTATTCAATGCAACCAAAGTTAAGGTGTGCTTGCAGTGGGGCGCCATGAAGCAGCGACATGGAATAATGTTGTGGCCCAATATTCGACTTGGAAAGAGGTGATAGAGACCAATCAACCCCTCCCAAAAGAGAGAAGGACAGCCAATTTGTAAAAAATTATCAAGTGGAATTCCACCCCAGTACCATATCACTATTAGAGAAGTGTTAGTCTTACAAAGACAAATACAAAGGGAGGATATAAAGACAATTCTCATTCTTGATCTTCATGATTTCTCTCTCTCTTTCTTTCCCTTTTTCCGTTTTTTCCTTGTGTTTTTTTTTTCACTTTGTAAGCTTCTTTGTATAAGTCTTTGTAAGGATAGACTTATTCTAACTATTATTTACATATTATTTATCCATTTTATATGAATGTGCATCCTTTCTTGTCCTTGGTGTTTGCATGTAATGTAATTGAAAAACACAAAGTTATAAGCTTCAGTACTTAAACAATATAGTTTAGCGACAATACTTGCAACTCTCACCAGCACCGGCTTGTACAAAAAGGAAGTCTTCAAAAGAAAAAAAAAAGATAAGATAAAAAAGAAAATCAAATTCCCTAACGAATTGCGATTAGCCAAACTAATATGATTAGGAATTAAATTTCTTAAGCTCTCTTCGTCTACTGGCATACACTTCTCCATGTCTCATAATCCAAAACCTCTCTATTTCTTCTGCTTTTCGGCCTGGAATCCGTCCGGCTATCAGTGCCCACCTGAAAATTTTATGTTCTATCAGCAATGAGATGAAATAAACTAACTTGAACGTTCATCGAGAATATATACATAAAAATCACATAAGAATTAACTTTTTTATACAGTAAAAATGAGGTCAAATTAGTTGCTTCTGCTACGTATGAAAAAAAATGTTTTTTAGAACAATGAAATTCATCACATTAGCAGAAAGTGAGTGTATATCAATATTTGATTACTGGGTCAATTATTTCACAGTATGATGGTGAAAGTTGCCCAAGCCATCACCTAATGTAGTTATTTTATATATATTTTCAAGCAACAGAAAAGATAAACATCAAAAAAATGTAATCATCAATCCATGTTCTCCTTGTTGATAAATTATTATATTATGAATCCAACAGAAGGTTGTTGCCTCGGCCTCTTAACCTTACTTTATCCTATTACCAATGGATTTTCAACAACGGCCAACCATTCAAGCTCAATTGGAGTTAACATACAATTTGGTGCAGATAATGCCCAAGGGAAAGATTGTTTTGTATCTGAAATTGAGAGATGGAAAACAGATTTTTTGAAGAGAGAGATTTCTGTGATCAAGATACAAGGGATGGTGCTCAAGTGTAAAACAGTGACAGTGAAGGCATAGAGTAATTAATTGTCTCTAAAATCTTCATAACTAGTTGAATTCAACCAGGATAAAATAGTCATTCGAAAAACTTAAATTTTGAAGGCTGTACAAGCACAAGCTGAAACATAATGGATTCCGAAAATACAGTACATAGCTTCATTCTGAAGAAAATTAAATAGACTGATGGACAGGATAATAGTCTATTTGAATCATGAAAACAACCCAGAAAAACAATTCATGAACATGTACTTTGAACTGATTTTGCAGCAACGAAAAAAGTAAGTTATGATTTGTTTACCGGTCTCCAACGAGTTTATACATTCTATAAATGAGATCTTCTTCTTGTTCGGACATTTTTATGAACTCCCATTCAATACTGCTCACCTCTGCCAAAACATTAGAGATTGAAGGTACCTACCATTAGTTGTTATATAAATAATATCAATAATGCTAATAATATTAATGAATCAGAACCAAAAAACATGAGTTATAATCCAACAGCTCAAACAAGAACCAACGGGTTTAACAAGAAAGTTAAAAAAAAAAAAAAAAATGAAACAGCTGACCTTCAGAGCAACTAGTACTAGTTTTGGGTTGCTTCCGGCGACGCTTATCCATGGTTAGACTTTCTCGAAAAGGGGAATTAAAAGAGATAAAGAGAGAAGAGAATGAGAGAAACCCAAGTAGAATTTGTGAATGTTTAAAGGGTCAAGTTTGACAATTAATAGTTTAGTTTCCTCAAAAGGGAATTCCAGTTACAAAATTTTATTATTATGTGTTTCAATGAGCAGTGGATTTTAAATGGGCATAGAGAGTAGAGCTTCAATTGAAACCCCTTGGAACAAAGCAACGAACGACAGGTCCTACCAAACATACAAATTAAAATTGGTTGACTTGCAGTTGTCCCAGTTCTCGATTTTTAAACAGGTCAAACTTCTTCTATTTGGCCACACTTCACTTTATTTATGTGTTTGTGCCCACTGTCAATGTATGAGGTGGCACACTCTAATTTGCTACTTTTTTAAACCCTGAATTTACTCTGGCAGTTTACCCAGATGATTCAATTCAATTATAATACTTGGTAATGCCATATCATTGGATATATTAATTAAGTCCTAGGTTTTGTCACACTTGTTCAGTTTAATACTATATTATAATCAATGTTGACGGTTGAAGCTCAGAATATTTAGTCCAGTGTGCATGACAGTATTAATTTAACATTTAAATTGGACTGAAAAGCGGCTTGAAAGTTAATAGACCATGGGAAGAGAAGGTGAAGTTGAGGGGTTAAACTAATTTAGATATTTTGATGGTTCGTTTAAGATTCTTGAGTGTATTATTCAAGAGGTCTTAAGTTTGAATCCCTACGACTACTAATAAGAGATAATTATTAGAGGTTTATTTAACTGTTAACTTCAGGGTCTAGAGCAACTAGTTGAAGTACGCGTAAGCTAATTCGAACATTCCCGAATGTCAAAAATAAAAAAAAAAAAAAAAAAAAGTTGAAAGGTTAAAAAGGAAAAGATGAAATCAAGGCTATTATGAAAAAAGAAAAGAAAAAAAAAAAGATGGAAAATTGAAGGTGAAAAGGACATGAGGTTGAAGAAAGAGGGATATGAGGATCAGGAGAGAATGTAGAGAGAAAAAACCCAATTACGATGTAGTATTTTTGGCTTCAAATATGAAAAGATTGGGACCCTAAAGCAAATCAGATGCAGATAGAGATTGATTTTTGTTAAACACTTTCACTTATTGGTCACCAGCAAAAATTAAATACGGCACACCCCACCTACCACCCTAGTCTAAATGGGTCGCTATTCCCCAGCGAACATTTATAAAACAAGACAAACTATATGAGCCTCGACTCGAATGTCACTATCTTTTCGACTATATTTGTTTTCTTTTTTGGTTGAAACAAAATCATTTGCTTTAAGCTTTTTTTTTTTCATGTCAACTTTTACAATATATTTCTAAACTATAAACACCCTCCTTTTTAAGTTATAACTTTTAACTGTAATTTCATCAAAATTCGAGTGAATCCTCTTAAAGTTTGATTTGAGGTTTTATGACTTTTGGTGATATTAATGGTTATTTACTGCTATCCTGTCCTTGAGTTGGACTTTAATTAATTCCAGAAAGTTATTGTAAGTTCAACACTAGAACATTCATTACTCATTAGTGTCAAGTGTACGAACTCTTCCTGAAGTAATTGTAAATGAATTGAGGTAGTGAACATCAATGGAGAATGTGGCTGTGTACGGACAATAAATCGTAGAAGATTGTTTATATTGGTACGAATGCATTAAGTTAAGCAGGCCCAAGACTCATTGGACCATACTTATCACTGCATTAAATACCTGTTCCGTATCGTTTATTATTTATTGGTGGATTAATAATACAATTTTTTTTAATGAAAATAAATGGAATAGGGAAAAAAAACAATTATTGGAGTTAGTGGTGGTGGCAATCTGATCCCAAAAGCCAAAAGTTATTTATGGCTTCACTTCAACCCTAACCTTTTTGAGAAAAATATCCTTTTTCCTTTTGGGGAGGAAAGAATAATCAACTACCATACAAAATATTATTCTCATAGGAGCAACTGGAATATTTAGGTTCTACTAATTATAAACAAATACTGTCTCCTCCACTTTGGCTGTAATAACTTTACGGAAAAGATCAAAATTCCGTTATGAAAGTTGATGAAAAGTGTTGCTCTCATCTCATCTGCATGACGACGACGTTAACTGGAAAGTCTTCAAGATTTAAATCAACCCAAAACATTTCCCAGTCTGTGCAGCTAAATGCTCTAATGGATAATGATAAAGTTATAATAAGTGTACCAGATAGATGAAGATGAATGTTTGGTAAGAAAATACGGTCAAAAGAGAAAAGTTAAATTAAGAAAATCAATGTACTATCTTATTCATTTCCCTTACACTGGCCCTGGAGCCTATTAAAAAAATCCAAAATATTCTGTTTGTTGAAGACAAATATACTGTGTGTTTTAGATGAAGCAACAACAACCTATGTAGTTGGCTCAAACACTCCAATTTCCAATACAATAACACAGCTTTAACAAAGATATAGATATATATAAACTTTTTTTTTTATAAAAGAGAGATCGACAATTGAAGATTGCACTTCACAGTTCACATACTTCCCACTTCTGTCTCATGGCAGTCTATCCAAATTCCAAGCTGGCTGAACTGACATACGCTGTCTTCTTCTCTTTCTTGTAAATTTAGTGTCATAATTATAACCAAGAAAATTGATATTTGTTAGATGGTATAATTGGTGATACTATCTTTTTTGTTGTCTTCTACTGTCTTTTTTCAATTCCAAGAAAAGATCATGTTACTGTTTATGCGATTGTTCAATGAGTGAAAGCTCACAAATCACAACCATATTTTACAGGGTTCCTTCCTGCGTGTGTTATGATGACAAGAAAGAGTGAAACCTAGAAATTGTGAAGAGACATTAAGAATCTATTAAAAGAGTAAAATCTAATAGTAATGTTTTTAATTTTACTTTTAATGATTCTAAGCACCGAAAAAATTAGATGATGAGAGATTGAGAGCAATTAGAAATATTATTTTTTGGAAAATGAATTTATTCCAAGATCTGAAGTTTGGTTGTTGTTCAGTTTTGAGGAAGCTTCTGAGTGAATGAAAACTCAGATAAACAAACCAAAAATTGAGAGTAACACCCAGATGAAGCAGTTCAGTTTGATTCCTGAACAGGATTTATGCATCACGTAAAAATACAACTAAACAACCTGGAACACATTTGACTCGGTTTGGTTAGCTCAATCAACTAAATATTGATGTTTGAAGGTAAAATATTTTTGAGGTGTATATTGAAAAAGCAGATCATGTTGGGAGAAATTTGCAGAAATGTAGAACGTTATCTTCTGGGACCCGTGTAGCCCTGATCGAACTGAGATACAGAGACTCTGATTTGTTTTGGACCATACGGTATTGATACTAGCTGTGGTGCCACCAAACACTCAAAATTTTGTTTACATTTTTCCTAATTACATTCTATTTTATGTTGGATGTGTGGCGATTGTTAGTTTTTACGTGTAGTTGATGCTCAATAATTAGTTTATAGAAACATGAATAGTTCATAGTGGGGTAGCTTTTTGTTGTTTGAATAGTGAATTAGATATCGTAATTATATGAAATCGAATATTGTCTGGGGGTTGTCATGTCATCCAAACAAAGAAGTTGAATCCAGAAGATATGTTTGTGAAAATTCCAAAGAGACAAAAAACAAGTTCAAAGTTCGTGCTATTAAACAGAGGGTGAGTTGAATTCGTTGCTCGTATAAATGATCATGAAGTGGGCTAAATAAGTGCAAAATAATGAATTGACTTATGTAGTTATGTTTCTAGTAACCATCATAACCTTTGACAAAAATTACAATGATAGCATTTTGCATAATTCTGATTCCCTTTTTCTTTTTTTTTTTTTTTTTTGAAAGGGGGAAAGAAATAAGTGGTAGTTGACAAAGCTTCGTCTTGAAGAAGATGCGGTGAATAAGTGGTAGTTGACAAAGTTTTGTCTTGAACAAGATGCAGTTAAGTTTTAAAACAAAATGTTAAAAGACTTAAGTACTGGACTTGTTTCTGGGAAGAAAATAAACTATACAATCATCTAGCCATTTTTTCTCGTGACTAAAACAACATTTTTAAGTCCAATCACCGAAAGATGCCATATGCTCCAACACTGCTTCGTTTCCAGTTATGTTTGCCTACAGCTAGAAAGGAGTAGCTTGCCAGATAATAGCAGGATGAGCATCTTGCTGATATCCAGCAGAATTCATACCGTACTTCTTTATCCAAAACTATAAATTTACAGATATAACCCTAATCCCACCTGTCAGAGTTGTTGATAGCATAAATCAGTGACTGTCAGGTCATATCACCCCACACGGCCGAATGCTACAAGAGCTTGTGACTGGGGCTTCGTATCAAAAAGGAGATTTCCCTTCACCAGTAGATTAACTAACAGAGAAGTCAAAACTTCTTCAAGCTAGATATATACTTCTAGTTCTGGGAGCTAGTGAGCTACAACAATTTATTGTACAATGAGGTTAAATACTTTTTTTTTTCCTAATTCCTAATTTGTCATCTCCAAATACAATTATATGCTTACTGCTGTCAAAGAATAGCTACAAATTGCATTTTCTCCAAGGAAAAAATCAGTGATGATGGTGCTGGTAAAATGGTGTACTCTCTCACCAAGGTTGCCCTTTACCCCCAAGCCGGCGCGCCAATTCAAAATCCTTTCTCACTGAGACAGAGAAAAACAAATAAACTATTTTATTATTGATATATTCCTGGAGCCTATTAAGCAATAATGGCAAACTTCAAAATAAGACAAAACATTAGAGGCACTCCAGAAGATCATTGACATGACCAACGCATACACCTATATCAACCTAATGATTGGTCAATTCAACTTGTCCATGTAGAATATCATCAATGGATCATTCAGCATCAATTGATAATTCATGCCTAAGAACAATTAGAACTTGTTCTGCTCATAGAAGCAACAGCCTAGGATTGCAATCTAACTACTATCCTATACTTAATTGTTTTACGATGATTGTTTTAGGTCTTTTCCATCTCAAACTGATTAGTCAGGCATGTCTGTTTCAGTAAATTAAATATGAAGATATATATCAGGCTATTAATCCCCAGAGGCAGGGCCATATTTTTAGAGCAGAACTCAAGAGATAAGTAGCCGTTATTCACGTTGAAAGAGATGCATGAATGTCAACGGGAAGCAAGGCCTACATCAAGTTGGTGAGTCAATATCACAAACCTAAACAGCCAATCAGTTCTGTGCAAACTATGTACATAACAAATGATTTTACACACATAAAGAAGATCATAAATGTCCCTTTTGATCTAGCTGAGAACCTCTGAAGTAAATGAAGTCATACACACACATATATATAGAAAATGTATCTGTTTTCATCTTAATGGCCAAACATATATATTACTTGGGCATTCATTCATGACAATCAATGCAAAAGATTAAAATTAAAAATTGATTGAAACAGTTATTAGTAGAACAACTTCTCAGATTGCTTACTCAGTGTAACACGCTTTGCATGGAATGCACAGAGCATTGCATCTTCAAACAAATGGACCAGAAAATCTTCTGCTGCCTACAAATGTGAAAACAATTAATTATAGCTGAGCCTATTAAAAAACAATTGTAACAGACAGAGCAGTTGAATTATCCATTAGTTGAACAAAAACTAAAATTATAAACTTTCTTCTAACAACCAGCTATCAGTGATTGCAACAATTTTACAACTGGGCAAACTGAAGTTTTTCTCTTTACTTTATCACAGTACCTCCTGAATTGCAAGTAAAGCTTCAGCTGTCCAACGATTGACATCTGGGGGTGCAATACGGTAAGTGATAGCTCTTACCTAGGAAAATGACAAGAGTTAGCACGATCTGATTCAAACCTCAACAGAAGAGCATAAACATAGCAGTACATAAACAATACATACAACGGGGGAGGTCGAGATAAACAGCTTGCAAAATGTGTAATTAAAGTTACTCGTGGGTGATTTTGCTGAATCAATGTGCACAGGACAGGGTAATTAGGTCAAAGGTACTACTCTACAGGAGAGGAACTAGATGATTGATGATAGTGAAAACTTGAAATATCCCTTCATCAACGCCAACATACTTTACTAACTCCCAACTGAGTTTGTTTTAAAGTAACATATAAATGATTTCATTGATTAAAAAGAGTTTAAAAAAGTTCACTGATTCTATTAGCAAAGCAAGTCTTTTTCCTTAAATTAACAATCCAATGCAAAGAATAGCAATCTGACATTTTCCTATTTAAAAGTGCATTTCTAAATGAGGTGTAAACACCTCGCAAACTTTCAAACAAAAAAAGAAAGATGTGATCCTCGTGGTATGAAAGTTGATTAGCATCAGATTGCAGGTCATAACTTCGAGAAAAAAATAGTGCAAATGTCTATGAGTAAGGGGGAAGAGAGCTATCTTCAGTAAACAGTCCAGTTCCAATAGATTAAATGCCAGGAAAGAAATCAGAACCATTGGAAACTTTAATTTGCACTGTGATAATATCCTAAACCTCATCAGATATATAGAGCATAAACAAATTCATGGTTTTATTAAGTTGTACGGGAACCAGTAAATCAGTGTGATAACAGAGAAAACAAGGTACACAACTTCAAAGTGAAAGTTAAAAGACAATGCATTGCAAACATTTCCAGACGATTCCATTATAAAGCTTACACAGATGTCAATTATGAATCCTCCTAATAAAGATATCAATTGAAGTTCATCAAACTATAGTCACTGTTTCAACCTAATATTATATTAGAAGTCAAATTGGCACAACCATCCAACAGGAAACATTTGAATTTCAAATGTGTGATTTGACCCAGTATAGACATATTCAATTTCAATTGAATCATTAGACCAATAATTGCAACTTTTCACATATCTCCCAGAATCCAGCAACAAATTCATTGAGCACCTCATCAGTGATCTTCTAAACCAGTTCTGCAAATACTAATAATATGGAGACAAGAGAGACACATACATGAATATATTCATACACAGAGAGAGAGAGAGAGAGGGAGAGAGAGAGAGAGAGAGAGCTCACTTCTCTGATGAAGCTAGCCGCTGGAATGAGCAGTTTTGTAGACTTCTGAAACATCCGAATCTCGCGGAGAGCCTTTGTTCCTGGCCTGTAGCGATGAGGCTTCCTTGTTGTAGCTGAACCTTAAAGTTTTTTATTTTTGGTTTTTTTAATACAAAACTTCATGTCATTATCAGCATAGACACCAATTCAGTTTACAATTTATGACAATTAATTTAATTGAGAGACACTCACTTTGTGCATTTGTTCGTCTTCTGCTTGTGCTTGCACCAGGTGACTTCATTTTTATCCAAAAACAAGAACAAATTACAAATGGCAATAATGTATTACAGGGAATTCCTTCCCTTAATATATTAGTTGTAGAGAAGAAACAGGAAAAGAAAACAAAACAAAAAAAAAATTATTATTAGTCGAGAATTAGAATGTATTTCTACACAATTCTCATCTGATCGGTTTGAGTTAATTAGTTGAGTGATTTTATTTTTACGGAAACAACTTTTCGTTCATTTTCTCAGCATCCTAATCAACACAAAAGGATCAAACTACAAAACTAAAAAGAAAATAGAAGAGTTATGTTATGCAGCTCAGAACAGTAGGAAAAGCATAAAGAACATAAGTGGAGTTAAAAAAATTGGGTTTCCTAGGGCAACAAAGTTAGACATAACCTTACAGCTTACACTGAATTGAAGTTTTCAATTAAAAAATGAAAAAAAGAAAAAAAGAGAGAGAAAAGCCAACAATACGAGGTTTGAAAAATAACATTAAATTTCAATTTCCATATTTCCTCGACAACCAAACAGAACAAACGAATACAACGAGAGAGAAAAGTACCGAAGGGGTAGAGGGTGAAGCTGAAGCTGGTGAAGTCACTTTAGCACCTATTATTTTAGAATGATAAAGTTAGGGTTTACTGGAAGAAGGAAAATCAAATCCCTACTATATAAATATTATAAATGTAAATTAGTTTTGTATAATAAAAAAGTGAGTGAGGTAGAGGAAGATATCTGACCAGATTGTCTTCGATTTCTTCTTTTAGCGGCAGCGTGTTTGGTTCTCGCCATCGATCAAACAACTATAGGAGCCGAGAGTAAGTTTAAGTGCGTGAAGATAGACGATCAAACAACTATAGGAACCGAGAGTAAGCTTGAGTGAGCGAAGATAGACCAAATCGATTAAGAGGCAAATAATCAAAATCGTTTCCCGCTTCGGTTTTAATTTGAATTGGGCGTCGGTCTTTTTAGGAAATGTCGATTGTACAGGGGTAGACGAGGAACTGAAAACGGCTAGTATGTCCGTCGGTCGCCGTTACACATTAGTTTGAGATATTTCAAAATTTGGACTAATATTTATATACCCCCTAACTTTTTGAAAATATTTTATTACCCCTCTGTTACTTTCGGGTTAATGATTTACTGATTTCATTACCAAAATAATCAATTACACCTTTAAAATAGCCAGAAGATTCAGAAAATAAAAAATAAAAAAAATCCAGAGTTTTAGAAAATTAAAATAATAAAAAAACTGAAAATTTAGAACAATAAAAACAGTCAAACTTGGCATTTTTTGGTTTTTTAAATCTTATGATTTAATGGGTCAATTGTCATTTTAATGGCAACAGCCAACAGTAATCACAGGAGAGGTAAGTCTGTATTTTCTTAAAATGAATGGGGTTGAAGGAAATTTCTGATATTACATGGCATTAGGAAGTTTTTCTAACACTCCAACATAAAGATATTTTGTCTTTGCTAAAGATATTTATACATCACAAATATTGAATAATGAATGTTTTCATATCTTATATAAGTTATATGTTAAATTGTTGGTAATGAATTTGAGCGAATTCAATAAGTGAAACTGATAGCAAGGTGGTTTGATGGTAAAAAAACAAAAAAAAGTTTCAAGATTTCGGAGATCAATTGAGACGTGCAGAAGCTGATTCAAACACCCCGTGATAAAAAAGAAAAGAAAAATAAAAAAGAGAAACTGATAGCAAGGCAGGAGGAAATAAATGCAAAAAAAGAAATTGATAGCAAGGCAGGAGGAAATAAATACACATCCTTCAGTTCAGGATGGCATGCCCTACTATTTTATTTCATTCTACAATCAGTGGAATATATTTAGTTATGACAAGAATTTTATGTGCTTATACTTGTCACCTTAGTCAATTGTTGATGCTCCAATTCATTAGACCTGTTCAAAAGATACCAACTGCAAGTGCAAGCCCATATCATATGCATGTATTTAGAGTTTTACAGCTGAGAGACAGTTTATTATGAAGGACATCTACATGAACCTGATAATTATGAAAACGAAATTAAGTAGCAGAAGAAACACAACATGAGAAGACTGTCTGCAAACTACGAATCATCCATTTCATGACATTATTATTTTTCTTCCATCCAAGTCATCATGTAAACCTAAATATTTCATGTAACCAGAGAAAAGACTGCACAACTCACACCATAGTTTTAATAATCCCGACCGAAACAGTTTCCTGTAGTAGAAATTACTTGGAGACTCTGAATACAGTTTGCAATCTAGGGCTGTAATGGGGTAGGAGATGTTGGAGGCTTGAAATCTGGATACTGCACCAAGAAAATGATTATACAGCAGATAAGCATTTGTTAAGTGAAAGGAGTAAAAGAATTAAATCCAACAACACACACAAAAAGAAAAAGATCAAGAGCAAACTAAGTAGGCATTACTGATGGATACGGAGAAAGTGGTCTTGGAATTCCAGGAAGTGATTCCGCTTTAACTTCTGTTTTGAGCACTGAATTTATTTGGGGAGACGGTTCAACAGCTGCTTCTGCTTTCTGTTCAGTACTTTCTACAGAAGCAGGGGCTGGGTTTGCCTCAGCTGGTGCAGGAAGACCCTTGCTAGTCACTGGTGTTGGTAGAAGTGCTTTCCCAATTTCCTAATATTGCAATTGGAAGAAAATCTATTGATTTGGCTTAAGAAATTTGTAAAAGGAGAATCGATTACAAAGATTTTACACAAAGTACCTTTATGTCATCAACAAGCTCTTTAGGGGCGATCTTGGTGTCTAGGAATTCGTCAACTTGTTGTAGTGTTTGTTTCCGATCCTGCCATGAAAAGCAGTGCAGGATGAATGAGCTCAAACCTCTATGTTTCGGATGAAAAAAGGGATAGAGTTTTTTAAAGTAAATTTCTCATAAATATAGTTCTGAATAGATAATGTATCCCATTATATATAGACATAGTCAGATCAAGTGAGTTATTGTTGATGGTAATCAACCCTAAAAGATATTTATGTGACTTATGATAACTAGCCATATTTAATATGTTTATTACCCAAAATGATGTGTATTTTCATTCATTGCCACAGAAACATGTTCTGTCAAAAAGATTACAGAGAAATTTTAATGGTAAGGCACAGATAACTAACCTCTGCAAACAGGAGTTTCTTGCCAACAAGTTGAACAATAGCAGCTGAGCCTAGAAGTTGAAGTACTGTTTCTATCTGGAGAAGATACAGCAGAATTCAGTCTTAAATCTTAAATCTTCCACCTCAAAACTGATCTTTACTGAAACAAAAACAAGCAAGAAGACAGAAAAACTAATAGGCAATGGGCCCAAAAAACCCAACCTCTGTAAATGCTAATAAACCTAATCCAGTTGCTGCTGCTGCTGCAATCCCGAGGGTAACAGGCAAACCATCAGAACCCTCCTGGAGAACAAATGTGACGATTTGAGGTTGGAAAGATGATAAATCAGTATTTAGCATTGAAGTAAAGAAAGAAAGCTTCCAATGGGTATATGAAAAAGATAGCTTTCCCATGTTATACAAGAAATAAAAAAATCACAGTGGATAAGTAGGTAGAAAAATTTCAATACATACTCCAATTACACCTCCGATAGATTCTGTCAAACTGCTCAGATCAAGACTCAATGCTTTCTTTGGTTGTATCCAAGGAAGACCACTATTCTGCAAAATTTGAAAACATCAGAGTTTCTAATCAAGACTTTGGCTGCCATGACTAAAACAAAAATAACGTTGCATGAACAGCATATACCATCCATCCCCTGGGTCCTTCTGCTCCATCTTTAATGGCATATGCAGCTTTGAATCCATTTACAGTTACTAACTCTGCTACCAGTTCGGAGTTCCCATCAAATCTGGCTTTCATCACAAATTTAGCTACATTAACTTCATGTGTTAATTTTCTCGATGCATATAAACCAAGAAAATGAGAGAGATGTATAGAAGACAGAATGTGCATCAAATACAAGCCATTTCATGCAGCGGACAATAATATTGTTGAGAGTGAATCCTTAGCTACTCAATTATAACCCATCACCTCATACTACCGCCAGATGAATACTTCTTTCTAACCTAAGGAATAGTGCATTACATTATGTCTTTAAACATCTCTCACAGTTCCCAAACATTGTGTGATGCAGCGCTAAAAGCTGTTAGAGAAAAATAGTTTCAGGGTCACCAAAAGTTGTTTGGTAGTTTTAAGCCCCAGGACAGTGGGCTCACAATTTCCGAATACACCCTACCATGAGAATAGAACCTTGTGGAATAGTGTTTTCGTCATTCTCATGAATCAGGGGTTTTGCATATTGGTCGATGATGTTTGTACAAATTCTTTATACAAACGGTTTTGCCATTATTATGTGATTGTCTCATTGTCTGTTTTAATCTATTTAATTTATTTTGAATTTGTATGTTTTTGTACCAGTTTACGTGTAATGAAATCATATGTGAATTACTACTCAATCATTGGAGCATGCATTATTCGAAATTTAAGGAGATAAATACCGTCCACTTACTTGTCTAGGATAAACAATGTAGTATTTTCTGGGTCCTTGAACTTCAAAGACAGCTTCTTCAAGAACCCTGGCTTATCTTCACCTTTGTAAACAATTGATACAGGCTTCTTACCCAAACCTCGGACATCAGGACTACCCACTTGCCTAAACTCCGGTGGAGGTCTTATATCCAGCAACTGGGCACTCCCATCTTCACCTATCTTTGCATAAGCAGTTTTTGCAGACTCAACACCCCATGGTTTAGGCTTCTTTAGAACCAGAGACAAAATCAATGGAACTGCCAAAATGGTAACGCCACCAGCTATAATTGCAGGATTATCAGTTCCAAAACTGATGACGCTATCAAGAATCCCACTTACATCACCATCGGATGTGGAAGAACTTGTTGACTGCTGCAGTGCTTCTTCATATGTTAAAGCTTTAGCTAAACCAGTACCAAGAACTGCAGATACTAGCACTAAACCCCCATGAACGCTCCTTGTTAAAGACTCTCGAGAAGTTGAGAGTTTGGATAAAGAAGTTGTGGATAGAGACTGGATCTTTCTGGGTTCTGTTCTTCTTTCACAAAGAACTGATATAGGTGTCAAGCTTGCTGCATTGAGGGCCTCCATGGCATAACTTAATAACACAGAGTCTTTCTGGCTCTTAAAGAATTGATGGAGAAGGTTGAACCACCATGTTATACACAAGGAATTTGTTTTTGTTTCAGGATGACAAGCCTTAGCGTCAAAGGGTGCAATTTGGCTGGCTTACTTTGAGTGGGGAGAGCTGATGATCTGGCATGAGATATGAGATCTTTCCCACTCAAGAAATGACACGTGGCAAGTGAGATGATCATGTTTTTAGATGGGCTGGTGACTTTTAATAGTTTTATGTGATTGTGTGGCTGAGAAATGCCTGAAGAAACTCTTAGTACATGTACTGAACAGTAGAGTACTACAGGCATTAAGTTCAGTATTGAAAGTACTAATTAAGTGTCAAATTTTTTTTTGTAAAAGAGGTAAAAAAAAAAAAAAAACAGTTGAATTTACCTTTAAATTTATTAGAAAATTTCGAAGAAATTAGAGGTGGGCTTTGGCTCGTGAAAGATGAACACCAGTGATGTGATCGTCAAGAAGAAATTACATTTAGAAGGAAGGTTGCAATGGAAAGATTATTACAAATCAGTAAGAGTTACAGGAATTACAGTGCATTAACCAAAATTTGTTAATTATGTCTACTGACGAAGATGAACAAACAGTTCCTAGAAACCAATTATGTTACATTGTAGAAAGAAATCGTAAAAATTGTCGTGTTAACTACAGAATATCAAAAAAGTAATCCAAACCCTGCCCTATTTCCCAGATGGAGAGGCCAGTTCCCCATAAACGAGCTTCCTCTAGCCGCAGAGAAACTGACATCAAGGACGGGTAGAACACAGCATGCTTGCCATTTTTCTCATCAGAGTAGATGAAGAAGTGCTCCCCAATGTTTTTTTCCCACTGTAAAACAGGTCTGTGCTTCTCCAATAAATGGAGGTAATCCGTTCCAGTGATAGCTCCACCACCCGATCCTGCAATTTGATTTTATGAATCAGAGCCCACTTAAAGAAGCTAATAATCGAACAAACTTAATCACAAGATAGGTACTGGTGTTACAGTTCCTGACCAAATCCATTAAAAACTTTGTGATCACATAATAACTACAAGAGAAAATTTATTTACCATATGCTCGACTTCACATATTTTAAGCAGATTATGTCATACAATAACAAAATTAAGCAGCCTAAAAGCATATAAAATCCTTTGTGTGGTTTGTGTCACTTTTTTGTTGCCAAGTTCACATCCTCCCAGCTATTGGGCAACATAGATTGGTTCAATGGTGTCGAACACAAGCCAAAGACACATAATAACTAGGTGAAATGTCACAAGAAATAAAGCAGCAAGTAGCATCCTTATTCAAATTCCCTCCAGACTGGTAGACTTATATAAGGATTTGAATCTGCAGCATATCACTCTACTGGGAGTTGGACCAGGGAGACATGAATAATCAATAAGATACACCACCTATTAGGCTCCCCTAATAACAATAACCAACAAGAACTTTATAGTTACACAATCGAAATAAAAAGAACTACCTCCTGCAAGGATGAAATCATTTCCATAGAAATTGATACCAAGAAATATCTTCCGAGCTAAGGTCTGCACACCATTCCTAGGGCTACCGAGGAGCAACTGCAGGATGGAACGTATCCACTTTAGTGGTGCATTGGGACCAGGATTATGAGGACCTGAGAAGTCATAAGTCATCAGTGAGAAACCATCTACAACATCACTCAAGCTTTGAAGATCTTCTGGGCCAAAATCATGTGCTTGAAGCTTCTCTGAATGTGGAGGACCTATGACATAGACCAACTGCAAATGTTGCTCACTGTTCCTCACCGAGTTCACAGAGTGCAATGAATGTCCAAGTTGTTTTATGAACTCCAAAGCCTAAGTTTTCAGAAAAAGAAGAATTTGTCAGATACACAGATCAGCAAGAGCCAGGCTAGGTTGATGGAAATTTCCAGCTAACTACTTGCTAATAAAAACTATATCCAAACCCTGCAACTCTTAACAAAGAAGCATTATACAGTCGTTACTAGAGTAAGTAATTAATTACCATATTCCGCATATCTGGATCATGCAAGATACCATAAGCTGCCCACCTGGACCAAGACTCTAGAACAATACCATCATATTCCAATTCCCTGTTTCATCAAGGAAAGAATCCACACAAAATTCAGAGCTGAGAACGGTAAATATTCATTCTCTCAACCCAATCTAAAGCTAGATTAATGAGATCATTTATTCTACAGAAACCCCACCTGCAGATGGGCCAATTCTGTCCATTCATAATTGTAGCAATACTTGGTCATATACATGCTATTGTCAATTGAATCAGTTTAGATTTAGATTAGTCTTGACACAAGTTTCATTTTTCACTCAAAAGTAATTTGGATTGTTTTTTTTTGAATTCTTGACACAAAATTTTAAAGCAAATCTACAGCTGGACTGCATAAAATGGACAATTTAATACAACCTAATTTAACATGAACAACATGATGGCAACTTATTATGAACTATGGGTACCATCACATGTGCAATATAATCTTCTTTGGATCCATCATGACAAGTTACTCAATTTCGCAAAGAATAACATCACTTCTAATATTGTAAAACTGCATATGACAACTGAAGAATGATGAAAGTAAAAGAACATAAGATGAACTATTGCCAAGTGCCCAGGCATTTCACTCTGGAATGTAATCGAAAAATCAATTCTCTTACACAGACCCCAGAATAGAAGAGGAAGAATATAGAAGTATAAGAACCAGGGTCTTACTTGCACTCTGTTAATATAAGCTCAATTGCTTTATCCCTCAGTTTCTTCTTCCTCAGCAGGTCCCTAGGAAATGCTTCGAGAACAAATCTGGGTAACACCTATTATCAAAAAAATTATTCCCACTAAGTTACCCAAAAAATAGAAAAGAACAACTAGCCCTTTAATTACCAGAGCATCTCCATTCATTCTTAGCTCTGAGATCCATCCTTTATCAGCATTATGTCTCCCTTCAAGGATCAAGCTGGTTCCTTGGCTGGCAACAGAAGGAATGAAGGGAAAATCATATAACAAACTTATTGACTAATAAATTTTCTTCATTCCTTACATTATGACAGTACAAGTGTCACAATCCCTTCTCTAGATTGAGACACCGGCATCAATAAAGTCACACAAGAATTTGCACCTAATTTTTAGCTCAATATCACCCCACCAAGCATTTAAGCTGAAGTTCAACAACAGTGAAAAATATATTTGAGTGAACTCTCCACTCAATTCATCCCTTTTCAAATTGTTATTCAGGATTAGTGTTATTTAACTGACAATTCAAATATAAAAAATTAGAACACTCTGCTACATAGTATAAATTTATAGAGCAGAGTCAGGTCTAAAAAAAAAAAAAGGCGCTCGATACCAAATTGATAATAATCAAGCACTGGACAATGGACATACCTCTTTATATCATACCAGACTGGGGATAAATGTGTAAATTTAGAATTGAACTTCTTCGCAATTTCGTAGCCCTTGGAGTTCCTGCCAAGTTTAGCATGTAAGTACGAAACAAATCATCCTTAAATAATAAATGAATAATACAACATAATTTAACGGCACCGTTGAGTGAACTGACCATGGAGTAATGTAGGCCAATACAGGATATGTGTAATGGCGATGAGATACATTCTCTGATACCTTTGAATTATCCTGAAATACTAGAAAATTTTCAAATTAAAAAACCGTTTACATACGAGATTGTATGTTAACTTGTTAAGTAGGAAATGCACAGTTCTTACAGTGAGGATTTCTTGGTAGTTGACATCAGTTTTGATGAGACCTCGTTGGTGTACATGAGAAATTGCAGGGCTCGAGTGTGGAGCGTACTTGAAACAGTATAAAAAGATGGAAACGGCGGGAATCACGATGAAAAAGAGAACAAAAATGGTGATGAGCTTGCGATCAGTAACTGAGTCACCGAATTGGTCTAATCGACTGGACGATTCGACTCGGCTCTTACGGCGATCCGAACTCTGTGCGACTCGGCGTTCTCGCCTCTTCGCCATTTTGTATCGTCACTGAGTCACGGTCGAGTCAAAATGACCTGCAACTGCATCTCAGATTCTTAGTTTGATGAATGAAGTGGAGATCATTTCTCTTTTGTTGATAAATAAGTAAATAAATAACCATTAAGCACTATCCATCTCCAAAACGACAAGCCGTTTCCATCCAGAACGACACAGTTTGAGTATTTTTTATAGTACTTAAAGACGATTATACCCCTCATGATCTTCTCAAGTAATTATTATATTATACGCAGAGAAATATCTATAGGCAAAGGGTTTTTGTAGATAAACCCTAAAGCCCTATCTAAGAGTATCATTCAAACAATTCAACATCTAAAGGACTAAAATTGAGACTGAGGCCAATCAATCAGGTAATTCTTCTTCTTATATCTCGGTTCTCTAATTCTTTTTTACATTCACTTGCCGAAAATGGAGCCCAAGCTTTTACTTTCTTCTTCGAAAGCCACTGCATATACATCTTTACCTTTTTTTGTGTCCTACAAATCTTCTTTTCTTGAGAAGCCTCAACTTGGTTGTAAATCACATCTCTCACTTACAACAGTACAAGCAGAAAAGTCTGAGTTTCTGGGCAAACGTCTGGTCTTGCCAGATAAAATTGGTTATTTGGGTAATATGAGAAAAGTCCATGTCCCTTTTGAACCAGTAAGAGCTGCTGTGAAGAGAAGGAAAGAGCTTCCCTTTGACAATGTAATTCAAAGGGACAAGAAGCTCAAATTGGTGTTAAAGATTAGGAAGATTCTAGTGAGTCAGCCTGATCGAATTATGTCACTTAGGCAATTGGGTAAGTTCAGAAGAGATTTAGGTCTCACAAAAAAACGTAGATTTATTGCTTTATTGCGGAAGTTCCCAGCAATATTTCAAATTGTAGAAGAAGGAGTATTTTCGTTAAGGTTCAAATTGACACCTGAAGCCGAAAGGCTCTACTTGGAGGAATTAAAGGTTAGGAACGAAATGGAAGATTTGTTGGTCACGAAATTAAGGAAATTGTTGATGATGTCCTTAGACAAGCGGATTTTGTTGGAGAAAATTGCTCATTTGAGGACTGATTTTGGGTTACCTTTTGAATTTCGTGACACTATTTGTCATAGATACCCCCAGTATTTTCGTGTTGTTGCAACTGGAAGAGGTCCTGCATTGGAATTAACTGATTGGGATCCCAAGCTTGCTGTATCGGCAGCTGAGTTAGCTGAGGAGGAAAATCGTGCTAGAGAGTTGAAAGAAAAAAATTTGATTATTGATAGACCACTTAAGTTCAATAGGGTTAAGCTTCCAAAGGGTCTTAATCTTTCTAAGGGTGAAATGCGAAAGATTTCTCAGTTTAGGGATATGCCTTATATATCCCCTTATTCGGATTTTTCAGAATTGAAATCAGGTACACGAGAGAAGGAAAAGCATGCTTGTGGGGTTGTGCATGAGATTTTGAGCCTGACTGTTGAGAAGAGAACTCTTGTGGATCACCTCACTCATTTTCGAGAGGAGTTTAGATTCTCTCAGCAACTGAGGGGGATGCTGATAAGGCATCCTGATTTGTTCTATGTGTCCTTGAAAGGTGATAGGGACTCAGTTTTCCTCAGGGAAGGTTATCGTGATTCTCAATTGATAGATAAGGATCGACTGTTGGTTATCAAAGAGAAATTCCGTGCGCTTGTCTCTGTTCCTAGATTCCCACGGAGAAATGCTCCCAGGAAAGATGATGGTAGTGCTGATGAGCCAGAAGATCGAAGTGAGGAGGATGGAGAGGGATGGTCGGATATTGATGATTATATGACTGATGGGCAGTTTGATGATGATGACGACAATGAAGAAGAAGATGATGAGTATGGGGATGATTGGAGCGATGAAGATGATGATACACCGCCAGATTTTGGTGAAGATGATGGAACTGTGAAGATTGGAGTGAGTAAATCAGTTAAACAGGTAGATAGCTCCACGAAGAATGAAGAGAAAGTGCGAGCCCTTGTGCTTCCTGATGGTAGGCCAAGAGAGCGCTGGTAAAAGGATGCAAATTTCTCCATGGACTGCAGGTCTTAATCTGTGACACTGGGCCGAAACTCATCATTTGCTTCAAAATGTAAAGCCTGAAACTTGTTCTGCAATTTAAAGGATCCGGCTGTCAGGGGTGAACTGCTTGCCAAAGGGAAGGGAATCATCATGTATCATGTTTCTGATTTATAACAATTATTGCCTTTCGTTAATATAATGAGATATCAAAATGTTAGTGGATTTTCAGAGTTCAAAGACAAATATTATATGTGTTATGTTTCTATCAATCCTTGAATTAGTAAGTACACTTCTGTCTTGGAAAACTATTGATTTATTCTACATATGAAATTCATGTCATGAGTTAACAGCTTTATGGTGAAACGGCTAAACGAGCTCATGACTCCAGGCCCAAATGTTTAGAGAAATCTTCACACATGATCTAGTTGTTGAATTTATAAATAGGTTACTTCAGGATTAAATTGATTTTTCTATTCGAGGGCACAGTAGTTCGTAATATTGGAGTTGGAGTGGAAGTGTTCGTGGTTTACGCGGCAATAGAAGCAGCCCAGTAGCTTTGTCTTTTGCAAATTTTATAGAGCCATCTGAAATCATTTCACTCTAAGGTTTCTCAATATATGTTGGCCGTTCTATCTGTCTTGCTGTGAACCTTTAGTTTTATAAAATATATGCATCTCCAAAACCAAAAAAAATTGAAAAGAAATATTTTAAACTAAAAGCCATCTTTTCAATCGTTGAATATAATTTTATTTAATAAACTTTGACAATGTTTGTCAAGCTTCCTCAAGGGTCGGTAGGTGAATTGTTCCCTCTCAAGTTGATGCTTACAAGTAAGATATTCGTAAAGGATCACGCAGCAGTTTTTTAATCTCACAAATGTAACTCAATAAAATGAGTAAACTTTCTTGACTATCAGATCAATCCCTTGAAGTTAGCACACAGCTACTTAGAATTAAAAATACAAGCAAATAAATTAAAACACAAACACACCAATTTATGTGTATAAACTAGGGACCAAACTTTTAAAGCCTGCGCATAAACAGTTTTTTATTTCACCTCGCTAGTTCATATTCAATATTCTTATTTTTAGTTATTATCAAGGAAGCAGATGCCGCGTGGCCTGCAACTTCAAGACATCTTTGGCATGCGACGAAACAATGTGAGTCTTATAGGAGAAGGTTAGGGGTGGTGGGGATGAGATGTGGTGAGTTGGGCAGCAAGATGACCTTTTCTTCTACCAAAACGTTGGATATAGTTTGTCGTATTGTTTAATTAGTTGAGTGACAAAGAAACAAACCAAAGTTACTCTTGCTAAAAATATATAAAGATTCATATTTTAATTCAAGAAATCAGAATTAATGGGCATTAGATATATGAGAATCTTGGTTGACATATTGTCGAAGAAATTCGGTGATTCGATGCAATAATACACTTGTTTCAACTTGTGTTATATGTTCTCTTGGACATGAAGATTTAGGAACTGTTCTTGCGTGGACTTAATGAGATTATGTATGGATATGGTTGAGATGGCCATAGCTGCTTTATTCTTCTTCACATGGACCTTGTTATGACTACTTAGATACAGTGCAGTTGAGTATTTTATATTCTCAAGAATTAAGGCATTGTTAAATTTATATTCTCAAGAGAGATAATGCTGATAAAAACAAAACGTCTCAATCGTTTGTTTCCTAAATCTCACTCTTATTTTACAAATATTGTTAAAATTAACAGGCAGAGGCAGAATATTGGGCCTGTAAAAAGGTGATTGGCTGAAACATCTGTATAGCTTAGAGTTGAGTTAAGGTAGTAGTAGAATGGGTTCTCCAGCGTGGAACTTCAAGCAACTAGTTGTTTACTCCCCCTCAAAGGCTTCCACTTTGCCATTTCCGGTGAGACAGTGCAGTTGCTGCCACCAAATAATGGCGGGCTGGGGGCCTTTGAGGAGGGTGCAAACAAGCTGTGTCTTGCTTACAAAGACTGGCTCCATTGTTTAACAGGGGTAAGAACGAATGTTATTCACTCTCTCTCTTCTGTTAAAATTTATACATATTTTCAGTCACTCGTGCTTCCGTTTTTATAATACATACTGCATAATGTAATCTTAAATTGAAAGGAAAAGCTTTCTGCTGCAAACCATGTAGAATTTTTAGTTCTACTCTCGAAAATAGCAACTATATGCATCATGTAGTATGCTCAACTCTGCAATTTTATTCATTGGAGCCATTAAGTGACATTACAACCATTTACAGAAGATCAAACTAGCCCTTGCATAAATAGATCAAGATTTTTTTTTTTTTTTTGGTTAAAATATTCTGGTTTGCTTATTTCGACAAATATACTATTCTTCAAATTCTATAAAGATTTCTATATTCCGGCCCTCAAGGGTTCCAGCACAGTTTGACAAGAAAGATCTTGAAGCCGTCAAGGAGAGATTGAACAAAATTTGTCATACACACTACAGATTTGGGATTAATATGGAAAAACAAAAATTATGTGTACTGGAGAAATTGTTCATATTTATTTCCATTTATCTCTGTCTCTTGAATTCATAATAAAAAAATTGAGGTTGTGATTCAACAACTTTTGCCTGCGTTTTCAGGTTTCTGTAATCTACCAATATGTACAGCTATGATCCTTCTTGATAATTCATTCTCCCATTGTTATTTCAAATCTCCATGACTGCTGCTTTTAAGAATTCACCAAAAAAAAAACACCTTTTAACGGCTAAAAGACGTTTTGAGTGTGTTACCATTAACGACTCAACGTACTGAATAAAGGAACGGCACAACAAATTCGAATACTCAATATACCAAGGAGTCATACGGTGCGTTTTGGTGAAAGTAGGCCGATATCAAAACGACCAGTTTTAGGACACAAGGAATCAAGGATTCAGGATAAACCTTATCCACAACAATCAGGTAAAAAAAAAAAAAATTGGTTTCGAAGAAACAAGAAAGTGTCGCTGCGATACAAAATCAGAGCTTTCTAATATTTTTCTATTTAACTGCTATTTCTTCACCATCTTACCCGCCAAAAGACCTCCATGGCCAAATTATATCCGATTCAACACCTCCACCTCTTCAATTCTAACACTACCCTCCATCAAAACCCACACTGTCACCACCAAAAACACTTCACTAGTTCACCGACTTCTCTTGCTCTTGCTACTACTGACGCCCCTCTTCAAACCACTCCACTCTCTAATTCTTCTCTTCAACCCTTTCCATTGACTTCGGATATTTGCTTCTTAAATGAAACAAATGAATTCGGAAGTTTGGATTCGGTTAAATTAAAGCATGCCCAGATGATAAAAATGAGCAAGAATGGGGATTCAGAAACAATAGCTAAAATTTTGATGTTGTATTACTTGGAGTTTGGTGATTTTGGATCCGCTGTCAAGATTTTCTTTGTGGATTTTTTGAAGAACTATACAGAATGGAGTTCTTTCTTGAAAGAATATGAGAGTTTCGGGGGAAAAGTGCATCAAGTTCCTGAGGTGTTCAGTGAGTTGAATAGTAAAGGAGTAATGTTTGATAGTAGAGTTCTTACAATGGTTTTGAAGATTTGCACTAGTGCAATGGCATTTTGGGAAGGTGCGGAGGTTCATGCTAGTTTGATCAAGAGAGGGCTAGATTTCGATGCGTATGTGAAGTGTGCGTTGATGAACTTTTATGGGAGATGTTGGGGTGTAGGAAGTGCTAATGAAATATTCAACGAAGTATCAATTCGAGAAGATTTATTGTGGAACGAGGCAGTCCTGGTAAACTTGAGGAATGAACAATGGGCCAAGGCCTTTGAATTGTTTCGAGAATTGCAGTTTTCTTTTGCAAGAGCTTATAGCAGAACAATTGTGAAGTTACTGCAAGCATGTGGAAAAGTGGGAGCTCTCAATGAAGGGAAGCAAATACATGGGTATGTTCTAAAATTTGCAATGGACTCAAATTTGCTAATATCTAATTCCTTGATTAGCATGTATTCTAGAAATAGCAAGCTTGGACTGGCTAGGACAGTTTTTGATTCGATGAAAGATCGTGATTTATCTTCATGGAACTCGATGATTTCGAGTTATACTGCCCTTGGTTGTGCGAAAGATGCTTGGGATCTTTTCAATCAAATGGATTCATCCAATGTAAAACCTGATATAATAACCTGGAACTGCCTACTGTCTTGCAATTTTCTTCATGGTTCACATACGGAAACCCCGACCGTTTTGCATAGAATGCAGAGTTTGGGTTTCAGGCCAAATGCAAGCTCTGTCTCTAGTGTTCTTCAAGCTGTTACCGAATTGGAGTACTTGAAATATGGGGAAGAAATTCACGGCTATATAATAAGAAACGGACTTGACTACGATGTATATGTAGGAACTTCGTTGATAGACATGTATGTGAAGAATGATTGCTTAGATAGTGCTAGGAAAACTTTTGATAATGTGAAGAACAGGAATGTTGTTGCTTGGAATTCATTAATATCAGGTTATAGCTTCAAAGGTCTTTTTGATGATGCTAAAATGTTATTGAATCAGATGAAAGAGGAAGGAATTGAACCTGATTTAGTAACATGGAATAGTCTGGTCACGGGATATTCAATTTGGGGTCAGAACAAGGAAGCTTTGGCAGTGATTAATCAAATAAAAGACTCGGGATTGGATCCTAATGTGGTTTCATGGACTTCTCTAATATCAGGCAGCTCACAAAACGAAAATTATCGGGAATCCTTTGAATTTTTCATCCAAATGCAGGGAGAAGGAATCAAGCCAAACTCTGCCACCATCTCCAGCTTACTTCGAACTTGTGGAGGCCTAGGTCTGTTGCCAAAGGGTAAAGAGATACACTGCTTCTCCATAAAAAATTATTTCATTGAAGATGCATATATAGTCACAGCACTAATTGACATGTACAGCAAGTCTGGGAATTTAAAAAGTGCAGAAGTGGTTTTCAGGAAGAGTGTAAATAAAATATTAGCTTCTTGGAATTGCATGATTATGGGGTTTGCAATTTACGGCCATGGGAAAGAGGCGATTTCACTTTTTGATGAGATGTGTGGAGCAGATATACAACCAGATGATATAACCTTCACAGCTCTCCTTTCTGCTTGCAAGAACTCGGGTTTAGTCGATGAAGGATGGAAATACTTTGATTGTATGAGCACAGATTATAGTATAATGCCCACAATAGAGCACTACTCATGCATGGTGGATCTTCTGGGAAAAGCTGGTTATATTGATGAAGCTTGGGACTTCATTCAAACAATGCCAATCAAACCAGATGCTACTATTTGGGGTGCTCTTCTTGGATCTTGTCGAGTCCATAGAAACTTGGAGTTTGCAAAGATTGCAGCAAAGAAACTTTTTAAGTTAGAACCGCATAATCCTGCGAATTACGTTTTGTTGATTAACCTGTATGCTATGTCAAACAGATGGGAGGATGTTGAACGTGTTAAAGATTTGATGAATGATGCGGGGGTGAAAAATGGGCCGGTATGGAGTTGGGTTCAAATTGATCAGATTGTTCATGTGTTCTCTGCCGAAGGGAAACCTCATCCAGAGGAGGGGAAAATATATTTCGAGTTATATCAGTTGGTTTCTGAAATGAAGAAACTTGGGTATGTGCCTGACATCAACTGTATACATCAAAACATTGATGAAGTAGAGAAGGAGAAGGTATTGTTGAGTCATACAGAGAAATTGGCCATCACTTACGGACTGATGAAGATGAAAAGCACGGCTCCCATCAGAGTAATCAAGAACACGAGAGTTTGTTCTGATTGTCATACTGCAGTAAAATACATGTCTTTAGTTCGAGGCCGAGAGATTTTTCTAAGGGACGGGCTTCGATTTCACCATTTTAGAGAAGGGAAGTGTTCCTGCAATGATTGTTTGCAATAAGAGAGCATTCTGTGATTACGTATTTTAAGGATGTTAAGTCTTTTAGAGATGATAGACAGCACTTTCTCCTGTTGATTAGGGCGACACTTCATTTCACTTGTCAACTAGACCTAGACGTTTGAGTTTATGCTGGAGTAGAAGTTTTTGCAAAGTTCAGTGTCTTAACGTGTTCATGAAATATGACTTCATCACCTAAGATAGCTTTTCAAACGTGCCAAAGCAAAACCATTATTGATCTTTTCAATAATTATGAAAATACGTGTCCTGCTCATGTATGTACCTATCATGACGCAAATTCCTTTAGTAATACGCTTACTTGGGAGAGTACCTTTGGCCATTAATAAGAAGCAGTTTTCAGAGCATATTTATCCAATCAGTAGGTAATAGGCATCACTGCCCCAGTTTATTTATTTTTTCCATTCCCTCAACATCTGCCAGCTGGTACCTCACCATTTTCCAAATTCGATTTAGCTAATAAATGCAATCAAATAAATTGTTCATAAATACTAGTTTCATATAGTAGTATTGACTCTGCAATTCCAACCTCTCCAAATTCACATGAACGGAAATTCATAAATCACTAAGATCAGTAAAATGCAATTTCGACTTCCTAACATTTTCATCTAATCCAATCTAATTTTCACTTATTTGCAGGAAGTTAAGAGCACCTCGAAAATAAACATGAGACTAAAAGAAATGTTTCTCTATGTGCATAACCCACATGTCAAGAATCTCCTCTAGTTTTACTCGCACAAATGTGAAATGCGTGAACTCTTACAAGTGTGTGTCATCAACAAGGTAAAAAGCACAACATGCTGGAAAACAAAGGCAGACCATAATTTACTGAAGAAGCCACTGTATGTACAAAAACAAGCAACAAAGTTGTACTGCTATTGAAGAGGTTCTCTACTGAATCTTCCTGCACCTAGACACTGGAACTACAACATGCAAACCACTATTGAAAAGGAAACTATTTGTTACATAAGTATTTACAGATACGACCATAGAAACATACCACCATGCACAAAACCCAGTAAAACAAAAAAGTGAGACATTGAACTGATCCTTTTCCATTCAGAGATACTTGCCAAAAGAACATATACTTTTGGTACTAAAAAGCAGGCAAGGGTAAAGTATTGAGATAAAAAAAACAAACATGTAAAAGCAGGCAGAAAGAGTTGAAGGGGTCTCCAAATGATGAAAAGGGAAAGCCAAAGGCAAAGCCAGCATTGTGTTCAAAACTTCAGAGAAAGAGGTAGGACAACTCCTACCAATCTCTAAAGACCTTTGGGAATCTAGAACCATAAATCTATACACCACGTTAGCCATCATACTTCATCCGTATCGGTTTATTGGTTCAGTTCGGTCTTGCACAGCCATCCTCTCCGAGACATCAGCCAATGATTTGAGATTGCACCTGATCAAGGCCTGAACAAAATAACAAGTCTCATCCCTCGTGTTTCCCTCTGGCACGTCCACTACAAATGACTCAATCACCAGTGTTCCAGGTCTCCCATCAATAATCTCCGGATGGACAGTCATGATTGAAGAGTAATTCTACAAATTTAGTAAACAAGATGAGAGTGGGTTCAAATTCTTCCAGCCAGAGCACAATACCATCAACAAAATAATAAACTCTTCAGAAATAATAAAAGGTCATTTCAATATTTTACATCATGGTAAATTTCAACTTCCTTTAAAGCCATAACATGTATTCCAAAGCCTAAATTCATTTATAACCAATTTACTCGTGCATAAAAATGGGTCAACCCACAAGAAAATATTCTGTGCAATGTAACTTAAAGAAAAATAGCAGAAAGTAAGGAATAATAATTATACCCTTAGCCTGTGATCACCACCAACAATCTTGATTCCAAGAATGTGCTCTTCATCATCAAGAAGTTCCAGCCTTTCAGTGCTTGTTGTAGCAGGAAGCCCAGACCTAACGTTAACTTCTCTAACGCTTCCGATACCAAGGTCCCCATTCACAACACACCTGCTGACAAATGGCTTGTACCTCTGCGGCTGATCAAATCGCCTAACCAATGACCACACCTGCTCAATTCATCATCTGTTAATACCAAAATCTCTTTATTATAAACTAATTAACTCAATAACAATAACTAAATTCTTTTTCGGCTTTCAAAAAGGGAAAATAAGTACAAGAAAAACATAGAAGAGAACTAAAAAATTATTACAAAAATAGCTAAGCAATAATATACCAAAACCAAATAAGAACAGATCTAATAATGGTAAGTTTGAGGTTAAAAGTTCATAATTTTTTCCTTTATGTACTTTCATAGCAACCAAACCAAAAAAAGAAATGAAAATTTGAGTCAACCATCAAAGACAGCCAAAGAAAAAAAAAAAGATAAAACTCAGAACCCAAAATTTGACCTGAAACAACCAATAACCAGGACAATTAAGTAAATATAACCATAATCAAGCGAACTTAATTTATTTTTCAGATCTATGAAAACAAAGTCAAAACGTGCAAGAAAATGAAAGAAATCAAAGAGTGAGAGTTAGTAGAAGAAAATAAAAAAGCGAGACTAAAAAGGATCTGATGGTAAGCAAGTAGTTACGAGATGAACGGGAGCTCTGATATGCTTAACAAGAGCTGAAGTGCACTGATTCTCTCTGGGCTCGTGTCTGTGATGCCTCCGTATGTACTGCGCCTCCATAACACCGTAAGCATCAGCATCGTTCATTTTGATCAGACACAGAGATAGTGTCTCTGTGAAAAACTGAAAATGAAGAGAGTGAAATTCTATAAAAAAGAAAAGAAAATAGAGATAAGCTTTGTAGCAGTTGCAGAGGATTTTTGGTGCAAAGTACAACCTCACCTTTGGGTTGGGTTTGGCAGTCTATCAAAAATCCATAAATCACCGACAGTATAATTTTTTTATTTTTTTTCCATATAAATATATATATATATATTTCTCCTATAATCTCAAACTCAAAGCATGTTCCTGGTGGGCCCATCACTCTATATAATATGTACTTATCCTATCCTTTTTATCTGTTTTTATATGTATATGGCTGATGCCTGATGCCTGATGCCTAATGGGAAATTTGTATTGTGATCACAGCTTATGTTGAGTATGTTTCTTTTGTTGGTTGAGTAATATTACACTTATATTATTTTTTATATAATTTTTATTATATTATGATGTAATATATATCATAATTATATAAATTTTTAATTATTTTAAATTTTTAATATTATAATAGAGTTTATATGATTATAGTATATGTCACATCATGATATTTATAAAATGATATAAAAAAATAGTGTAAGTATAGTATTACTCTTTTTTTTTCCTATCCGTGTGTCCACAACCGTTTACATGTTTCTTAATTAGTTTTTGGGTCTTAAAATTAATGATTGAGTAAATTTTTAATAACCACCCCTTTAACAATAGAAAATTAAACTTAAATTTTTTTTAATAATATTGTAAGAGTATCTATTCAATCACTTAACTATCCAAACGTGGTTAACTTGTTTTGAGTAGTTGCTGTCACTTTTTTTTTTAATTTAAGCCCAGGTTTTTTTAAAGTTATTTAAAATTCAAATCAACAAATAATTAACCGAATTTAAACAATTATTGAACATTAGAGTAAGTTAATTAAAATAATTCCCAAAGATTGATATGATAGAACCAGTGTAGTGATAAATTGAATTGAATTTCCATAAATTTGGTTATTTGTGAAATAAAATTGTTAGTAATTAAGTGTAGCGAGAAGCACTAAGTTAATGGGGGTAGTTTTAAATATAAAATTGTGAAGTCAATAGTGATTAGTGAGCGCGTTTGCGTAAAGTCAAATTGCCGAGAAGTGGGGGTGATGTGAGGATGACTGTTACGTATACCATCTTCAATTTGAATATTTGATAATATTATTTTAGAAGAAGATAATTATTTGGTTATAATGACATAAATGTCCTTGCAACTTGCAAGTATTTTAATATTTTAATATTCAATATTCATGTGTGCATGTCAGAATTTCAGGTAGTGCTCTGCACTCTCTCTAAAATGGGCCACATTCAACCCCTCCAATTTCATTGCTTTAAGTAACATATTTTTAATATTTAAATTCGAGTTGACATAAACGGTAACTAAACTTCCAGGTGTCACCCTCTTCCATAAACCTTCATATTGTGGATTTTAATTGGACCACGTTAGCTCATACGAATTCATCATCGCCACATTTTCAATCATTTAATTTCCATCACCCGCCTACCCAACCGACCCGTTACAAAATGTTTTTGTCATCCCTCGACCATTTTCCTTCCTTAAAACGCACTTGGGGAACAATTTCGGATCTATTCTTAGCGACTTAGACCCATTTTTTTCTTTTTATTTTCACTATTCTATGAATAAATTTAAAATTACTGTTTGTTATGCCTAAAAAGGTAGAATTGACGTGGAGTTTTGTCAGTATGGGATAGTTAGAACTTGGGAAGGATCTATGACTGTCCAGATGTAGCCACGTCGTGTAATGGCGCAAGTGGCACGCCCCCGTCAGTGCAATAGGTGAGTGTCAGGCTAGCAGGTAGTTGGATTCGTCCATGTGTCCAAATCCTACATAAGTCGAGAAAATCCCTCGGGTAAGTGAACAATGGGACGTAGAGAATGATTTGCACGGTGCCTACCCACTTGCAGATTTAGTAATCATTACCTTAATTTCTCCCACTATAAATAGAAGTCTTCCCTCTTATTTGCAGGATTGGCTAATATTACTCTAAAATAGCTTACTTCTCTCTCTCTCTCTCTCTCTCTCTCTCTCTAAACGGTAACTCGGCTCGCTGAACGCGACCTGACCTTTATTCTCTTGTTAATACAACAGCAGTGGACGTATGATTCGCTTTTGAGCATCCGAATCACTTTAAACATTGTCTCTCACCCCTTATTTAACTTAATATTCCCATATCACGCATGTCTTCTAAGTCCACTTAGCACTTCACACGTGCGAGTAGTTGGTGTCTAAAATTGAGCATTAACAGTTTGGTGTTAGAAGGAGGGCTTGATTTAATATCTGCTCTTCATTAGAAAATCTCTGACCAATCGATCCCACAACAGCAAATGGCTCACGGTTTCGAATCTGAGCAAACCAATTATGGTAATGAAGAAATCCCCCAGGTACAAGAGGACACTTCTCCCGAAATGCTGCCAGTCCAGCAGAACATCATAGGGGATATTCCTTCAAGCTCGCGGCTCGACCAAGCCGTCATGAGTTACTTGGAAAGATTCAATAATACTTTTCAAATGGTCAGCCAAAGGCTAGACAGATTGGACCGGGTCGTGCCACCCGAAGCCAATGAGGCGGTGCCATCGCCAAAAACACCTACAGGTTGCGTGAAAGCGCAAAAAATGGCAAAAGCTTATACCGCGCGCACTGCAGTGAGTCAGAGAAAGGGAAATCAAATGGTGCACAACATACCCAAAGGCTCTGAAGGACTAGCGAACACCGATTGTGCCTCGGGTAGAATACCCGTGGCATTGCGACTCGACGATATGTTGCAGCATGAGCCGTCTCACACCACGTTGCACGGGCACTCCCACAAAAGTGCAAGGCGGAGAGATTCCTAATATCGCCAAAATGACGACTTTGATCATCGTCGTGCAGGGGATTCCCATCGTCTGCATATTGGTTCGTACCACCGCGGAGGTCGAGAAGACTCCTCAATTCACTCAATGCCATCACATGACTCTAGCCAGCGTGTGTCAAGATTGGTCGGAGCTTCCGACTGAGGTGAGGAAGAGTCCGATTTGCGGTTTTTTCTTAATCGCAACCGTGAGGGTCGAACCCACGTTGCGAAAAGTAATCCCCAAGTAGCTCTGCTGCCTCAGATTGAGGAACTATAGCAAGTTGCGGATCAGCTTAAAGCTCAATAGAACGAGCAGGGGAAAGTCGTAGAAGCGTCCCCCTTTTCCCCAGTAGTGTTAGCTGCCCCTCTCCCATTGAGATTTAGAATGCCCGACATGCGAGCATTCGATGGGAACTCTGATCCGTAGGATTATCTGTATGAGTTCAACGACCTCATGGAACTCCACCAAGTCTCTAACTTGGCAAAATATCGTTGCTTGACAGTAACCTTAACTGCCCATGCCAAGTGATGATTTATGTCGCTCCCAACGAGATCAGTCAGTTCATGGCCTCAAATGAGCTTGACATTTTTTAGGCACTTCCAGGCGAACAGGAAGTTCTTAGTGCTGCTAAGCTGCCTGAGTAATATACGGCAAAAGAATGATGAATCCCTCCAATCTTATATAGACAGGTTCCACAGGAAGCTCCACAGAGTGGCTCATACTCCCAAGGAGTCCGTTCAGACTCTCATCATCGCCGGGGTTCACCCGCAGACAGACTTGTGGAAGGAACTGCAATCTAAGGATGATGTTTCCCTCACTTGCTTCTACAACCTTACTGAAAAATACCTCCGCATTGAAAATTCTGTGGCCGCTCGGAACCGCCACGACCTCGGTCTTTCGGACAGTGCTCCCAACCGGGGGGAGAACAAGAAGGTTGATCTCAGATGGGCTAACAACGATCAGCGAAAAGGAAAGAAGCAGCGGTATTAGCCCAAGAAATCTTATGCCCCAGTTCCTCGTTGCGATCGCGACAAGAGTCAATACACTCCTCTGAATGCCTCGGTATCGGCTATTTTGGATAAATCAGAGGAGGTCGGTTTGCTCGGAGAGCCTGAGCCCATGAAGAATCCCCCCTCAACCAGAAATAATAAAAAGTATTGTCATTATCATCAGGATAACGGGCACCACACCGATGAATATTGGGGCCTCAAGTAAGCAATTGAGGACCTCATTAAGTAAGGGCACTTCAAAGAGTATGTTGATGACTCTTTTCCCGTTTGAGAGAAAAATCAAGAGGAACCATGGAAAAAGCGTCGTGGTCACAAAGGCCTCTACTGTGTGTGGATCATCTTTGGAGAACCACACCTCGTGGGGAATTCTCGAGGTGCCCAATAAATGTATGCTCGCGAAGCCCGTCATGACCCCCTAAGTATAATGAACACGGCACTGCGACCCGCTAAGGTTCGCAGAAAGGAGGAAATCACTTCTCCGAGAAAGGTGTAGGTGTGATTGCATCATCCCCATGAGGATGCTCTTGTCATCGCGCCTGAAATAGGTCGATGCGAGGTCCACAGAATGTTTGTGGACAATAGAAGCGTCGTGAATATCTTATTCCAGCGAGCCTTCGAGAAGATGAAATTGGACGAGGTAGATCTGAAGCCTGCCTCTATCCCTCTTTATGGTTTCACCGGGGATCATTTGATTCCCAGGGGAACAATCTCGCTCCAGGTCACATTGGGAGAAACCAACGAGCTAACCAAAATGACTGAGTTTTTAGTAGTAGACTGTCTGTCTGCCTTCAATGACATTTTGGGACGACTTCTACTACGAAACTTTAAGGCAGTCACCTCAATATACCATCTGAAGATAAAGTTTCCCACCCTGACAAGGATAAGGGAAGTAAGTGGATCTCAACGCGCATCTTGCGACTACTATGTGAGGGTAGTGTAGATGGCATGCAAAGGAAAAAGAATGTCGGTTGGCATCCCCGAGCAAGCAATGACGATCAGTAGGATCGAGCCGCAACCCAGCCCGGTTGAGGATAACACAGACCCTCGCATCTAATAATGCCCTCACAGTGGGCCGGTGGAGGACCTCTCCGAGATATCAGTCAATCAAAGCGGGCTGACCCGAGTGTTGAGGATCGGGAGTAATCTCAACCCTCAGTTTACCAATGACCTGACTAGTTTCTTCAAGGAAAATATCGACGTATTTGCATGGATGCATGCTGACATGGTTGGGATCAGCCCGAATATTATGTCATGCCTTGAATATTGACAGTGCGGTCAGATCGGTTCATCAAAAGAGAAGAGCATTGGACCCCGAG